AACACAAAATTTAAATCACGAAAGTAGATTGTGAGAAAAAAAAGTTTTGAAGCTAATCGTCTCTCCTATTTTCAGTAATGAAAATAGAACAGGATTCAACATCATACTATTCATTGAAACAACGACTTCTTCCATAAACAGATATTAGTAATTTTGAAAAAAGGAATAAATATAGATAGGCATATGAAAAAAAATGATTAGCTAAGATATAATCATTTTTGTAAAGTTGTGATGTTATATGCGATTATCAAACGATGTTCGATAGAATATTTTGCAAAGCGATTAGGTTACATTTATAAACATTTACCAAAAATTCAGAAATAAATTTTAAAAAAGTTAAATTAATTTAAAATAAAATCTAAATATGTTTGAAGTATTCTAGAATGTAACAGGAACATAGTGCAATCATTTTCTTACAGAATATTCTTTAGTGATGATCGAATTTTCGTTATTTATGATTTATTTTTTCTGAAGTCATGCATTTTGATGATTGTATTGTTGAGTTTTAACTTATGCTTTTATTAAAAAAATTCTCAGAAATTTACAATCTAAAATAATTTCACAGGATAACACAGCGCTTGTCAGGCATCGAACTGAACTCGAACCTGTGGAAGTTGATTTGATTCCTTTTCTAATAGTTATCGTTAAATACTGTCAATGATGAATTGCTTTTTACATTAAAATATTCAATTTTTTTCTTTATTATGAATTTTTTTTGTATTGATAACAAAATAATAAAAAATACGAATAATAAATCAAGAAAAAAGAATTGTTATTTGAATAAAAAAGAAACAATTGTGTAGTGCGAGACTTTTTGAATTTATCATTTTCAATGGATTTTCAGAAAACAGTTCAATAGGATGAAATATGGTAGCTGCTTTTACATATAATCTACTAAATCAAAACGATTCAAAGATTGTAGATGTGGTTAAACAGAATATCAACATCTATACTCACATTCTTCTTGATATTATTAAAAGTACTGGTTATAAATGCAAGTTTTAATCCAGATTTGTGCAACTTTTTCTTAAACTCCAACGACATGGCTTAAAAAAGTCTTCGTTAAAACTTCAATGGCTAAACTATGTTTAATGGATACATGTAATCGACTTATTTACTAGTTAAATCAATGACTGAAATCATCATAAAACGTACGATATGAAATATAAATCAATAAGCCAAACAGAAATTAGAGCACAAAATAAATGACAATCTATTCTGATTGATTTAGAAAATTTAGATATGATTGTTATAATAGAGACAGATTCTAGTAAAAAGAAAAAAAGTAAATAAATTAATTCTTGTTGCTAAGTTTCCATTTTATGAATTGATATTTTTAGTCTTTATTGAGGATGTGAGTATGGATGACAGAGAGAGAGTATATATGATTCATCAACATATCCAAACAACATCTACTTTCACACCGTATTTTGAATATGTTCAAGTAAATCAGCATATAATTTTTCTAGATTCGATTCATTTATGAATGCTTGTTCAAATTAACGTCAATGTTCAATATTCGTTAACTAAAATAAATAAAATAGATTTTGCTTTTTTGTTGATATAATTGATATTTGCAGAGACTATTTTCGATCAGCAATAAGAAATAAACGATTGCCTGATTCTTCGAAACGAACACTGAAACGTGATAACATCAATAAAAACCTAAAAAAATAAAATATATACTATATTATCAATGAAAATTCATTTTGACATTTCATGACGAAATTTATATGATTTTGTATTGATCGTCATTCCTTCGGATTGAAATAAAGAGTTTTTGTTTTTCATTAATGTTTTACTATTTATCTTTTCCAAATAAATTTTAATTGTATGTGTAAGTCTTGATAATTTTTAAAAAGAAAACTAGGAAGAATATTTAACCATAGGCAGAATTTTACTCATAAGATGGTGTGGGTGTGGATATCATTATAGGTCTTGTCTTCATCCATACCCACACCCTGTGATAGACATGCACTTAACATAAGACAAGTTAACCCCTATATAGCCATACATAGTGATTTTTCTTTGTGCAGTATTTGTCATTGATAATAAAGTCCATTCATTAATTTTAGCTGAATAACGGGCATTAATTAAAGCACGAAAAAAAAACTAATGTGTTCAAGTAATAATGATAAAGGACGTAATAAAAGTAATGCTTCATATGCTAATGTTGATGATTGTTTTGTATGTGCATATAATTCTTCAACAAGTTCAATAACAATATTATCTGATGATGATATTATTGATGAACTATCAATTTATTGTTTGTTCTTTATTAACATGTTCATTATTTAATGAATTTGTATTTTTATTTGGTCGTTGTAATAATGTATAAATACGTGAAAGTATTAACACCATATATCATTTTTGGGATATTGACCAACTATTAAAAGTTTTTCAAGACTAATTGATATAACTTTTTGTGTTAAATTATCATCTTTAATTAATGATAATCAAATATCATATGAATTTAAATCAACTTCATGAATAAACATGATGCATATGCATGAGTTTTAGTTATTAATTTATAATTACGTTCAATTAAATGTATATATAATTCATTATATTCTTTAGTTCTTTGTTCAAGTAATATACTAGATTTACATAAATTATAACTTATTAAGGATATTATTAAATCATCTTCCTCAAACCATGTACAAATAAATCAGATATATATAATTGAACCTATTAATTTATATTACATATATTTCAATTAGAATTTGTAATAATAATGTTAAATCAAAACCATGATGAAAAAATAAGTGATCAAATAAACTCTAAACTATATATTTTTAAAGATGGATGCCAGCAAAGAAAATGTCCATAATCTAATTTTTGATTGATAGAATTTATTTGAAATTATTGATATAATCTTTTATCTCTATGAAATAAGATAGTTTGCATGTATTATATATCAAATCAAAGACAGAGAAACACTAGATTTTCTGTTTGATGAAATTAATAATTTAGCAATGAATTTATCTTTCTTTTAACTTAGAGTTCTATTTGTCGATTATTAAAACATATGTGAGACTTAGATTAACTGATAATGGTAATGTATTATTACTTTGGATTGATGTTAATATAATATCATATGAAAATTGTCCATAGGATAATAAATCACGTGTACCTAACCGTTCAATATTTGTAAATAAATTATTTGAACTTGTATCTAATGTTGCATATATTGACCACCGATAAAAAAACAAAACAGATAAAATCTAGTTTATTTTTCAATCTTGTTACCATTGTGTTGCATTTGTTTCTAAAGTTTCTTCTTTTTTTTTTACAATTATTTGTTGTTTGTTTATTTTCATCATTAGATTGATTTGTGATGAATTAATCGAAGCTAAAAATGAAGCCTATATTTCTTGAAATTGTATTCTTAATAATCAACCAACTCCAAAATTGTCTTTATATAAATATTGGTAAACAAAATAATAATATAGCTATACAATATAAATCATGTCAATAAATATATGATATATATATAAACAATTTTTTTTTTGTTAAATAATAAAGATGATCTTTTATCTGGTTCAATTAAATTTAAATATGATTATAATATATTTGATATAGTTAAATCATGTCGTTGATAAATATATTCAAATATTGATAATAGTATTTTCGATAATGTACAACATGATATTATTTGATCTGTTTCACAACTAAGAAATGATGCTTTTTTTTTAAATATATTTATATAAATTATTTCTGATATAAATATTATAAAACGTAATAAATCATGTATATCACCTGTTGAAAATTGACATGTTAATTCAACATGATTTTGTATTTTATCAAAATATATTGATATAGAATCTATGAATGCAATTGAATATGGTTGATTATTAGAAGCATGATAAAAGACTTTTTTCATAAATTGTATTAGGTGTTGTTTCAATGTCATTTTAATTTGTTTCATTTAATATAACTATACAAAATCCTTGAAAACAAACAAAGAACAGATTTATATTGTTTCTTATTTTCTCAAATCAATTTTCATTTACTATAAGAATCATCCTAAAAATTTAATGCTGTGGAAAAAATCCAATACGTTTTCGGAGTTCACGAGTTCAAACTTATAGAAAGTTTATCGCAATTCTCGAATGCAATTTATTTCGAAATATAATATTAGAAAGACGTCGTTTTCTTTAATTGTAACAGTACAAATACCACGACTGAGAATTTGATCAATAAGATTCGAGAGGAATTATTCGGTCATTGTACTAATGTAGCTTAAATGCTTTCCTTTACGATTTGTATTATCTGAAATTCTGCATATTTTCTATTTCAAAATATTTTTCGAAATTTTGAATTATTCAAAAGTCTCATCTATTACTAGCACATAAACAATGTCAAAGTAAAAACAAAAACATTTCTTTTAATTGGATTAAAATTTTTATTATACATATATATTTATCTATTTCGATAAATTAAACTAAAACATACCGATGACATCATAAATGGTAATCATTTTTTATAAGTTATATTTTTAAGCATTTGTTCATAAATTTTTCTTGTTATATCCATAGGACAATTAAGATTATTAAAATCTTCTTTAATAATATCGTTTGATATTGTTATTGATAATATTTATAATATTAATGGTAAATATTTAGGTAATAGTTGTTTATATAATGGTAATGGAAGAAATTGTTCAATTAATAAAACTAATATAAGACCACTTTCATACAAATGTATTCCTTCACAAAAAAAATTAATGACTTGCAACTGATGTATGATGTATAAGATCAAATAAAAAATAATAATAATAATTGATAATGTGTTGTTATTGATATAAAATGTTCAACATATAATTCATGATGATATATTAAATCACAATAAGATTGTAATTGACTACTTATCGATAAATGTGTTATTAATGATGATGGTGTTAATATTGGTGACCACCATGCTTCTTGTATATAATCAAGTATATTCAGAATATGTGTCCATTGTAATAATAATAAGATATAAAATGATGATCATTATAATTTAAAACATTCATTTAAAATAGTTAAATATGAAAATGTATTAAGATGATGTACAGTTTCATCATGAATTCATAATTGATGAAAATCATTTACAATTGTTCGAAATTGTTTAACTAAAATAAAATTATAGATCGTATATAAGCATAGGAATTTTAAAGTCAAATGTTTTTCGCTAGATCATTAGTAATTAATGAATTGCAGGAAAGTTTTATCTTCAAATTAATGGGTGATATGTACATAAATATAATCGGATGCAAGAGAAACTAATGTCATATTGATTTGACCACATAATTGTCGAGTATTTGTTAAAATTCATAATATTATGTCATGTAAAACACGAAGAAGAGCTCTGAAAACAAAAACGAGAATAATACTTGTTAAATTATAAATAAAATCATTTCGAATACTTACGCACTAAAAGTTTCATCTCGTGTTCCATGAACTGATAATAAAACATCATTCTATCGTGTTAATATAGCATCTTCAGTTAAATTTTGTACAAGACATCGAAGTATTATATATATATTGATTAACTATCGATTTGTAGATTGACAATTGACATTCTAAAAAAAAATTTAAACTACAGAAAAATTTTATAAATAAAAACAACGGACATTTCTATTTACTAATGCCCGACAAACAACATCAAATAGTGTTAATTGTGTGGATTAAATATCCAAAAGTGCTTGATTCTATTTGAACAAAAAAAAGTAACGTAAAATCAGAGACTATTAAAAGAAAAATAACCTGAGATTGTAAATGAGCAAGAAGTAAATCGACAATTTGTCGTGAAAGACGTTTCCATTTATCATCTTCAATTTGAACACTATTAATAATAACTGTGAACAATCGTAAAGCCTATAACAATATAAATTCTATTATTATTTTTTCAGTACATACACATGATATGAAAAGATACTTGTATTTATAATAATTAAGACGCCTAGTTTTCCTTCAAACTCAAATACATAACAACAAGATGATTATTTTCAGATCATCGATTCGTTGAAGTGTGGGTGTAGGTTCAATCGAGGAGAAAAATTACATCTACACACCCACACTCACACTCTCTCATTTAATAAAACGTTTTAGGAATTTTAATTATTCGCATAACTCGAACAAGAAAAAAAATCATATAAAACTGGTTCTAATGCTGCTAAAGCTAAATAAAGAATTTTAAGGATAATTTCTTTGTCTCAAAAATGTTTTTTTTGCTTCTTACCATGTGTTTCAGGTTCATGTCCACTTGCTAATAATGAATCATAATGTTTTATTAAATCTTGTATTTTAATAACTTGTTTTGAATGAAATGTATCATGTGATAACATAACAAGAAATTCAGCAATACAATAAATAAAATGCTATTTAAAAATAAACGAAACGATTAGAAATGCAACGAATTTCATCAGCTTCTAATTAATCATAATTAACACGAATTAAAAGTAATTGAACAAGTAAATCGAGTATAGCAGCTTGAAAATCACTTTCATTTGTATATTAATATATTTTTTAAGACTAATTTTTTTTAGTTCAATAAAAACTAAAATAGAAAACAAAAAAACAGACAGAATAGAACAAATTCATTTTTTTGTTTATTTTACTCTCGTATTGCACTATTTATACTTGATGCATAACATGAACCAAATAAAATAAATTATCGATTGTCGAATACTTATTGTATGAATATAAGTTAAAGAATTATTTAATGATAGTTGTGAAGAAACATTTGAAGATTTAATAAAAACTAAATTAAAAGAATATTTTTAAATAAATGTTGTGTTAACAGAAAAAATGATTTTCAAATTTCGAATTGATAGTGTGTCTTGCAGATCGCTCACGTCAACTAGATGATTTAATATTCGAATTTCAAGATAGAACCGAATCAAAAGATCTGACACTTTCACAACAAACCTACTCTTGTTAAGATCATCGATATTTGTAAAATCAGTTTTTCTATTACTA